AAAATGCTATTAAAAAACTGTGTTGGTCCAACACCCAGCCTCACTCTAACTCGGGAAGTAATAGAGCAGGTGAACAAGTTTTGTTACTTGGGCGGCTACATCTCACCCGGTGAGCGCATCACGAATGAAGTGTCAGTTCGCACATAGAAGGTTGGCATTTGCCAACTTGAGACATCTGTGGCGCCGTCGCGCCATCTGGTTGTCTGTGAAGGGTTGAGTGTATGCCGCGGCAGTTCGGCCAGTCTTGCTCTACGGTGCAGAAACTTGGCCATTAAGGAAGGAGGATAAGGATCGACTGTCAATGGTTAAACACCGCTGTCTACGCAGTATTGCACAAATCTGGTGGGGCAGCCGGACAAGCAATGCTGGGGTAAGGCGAAAAGTTCTAGGCAACACTGGAGCAAATGGTCGACCTCCATAGATTACGTTAGTTGGGGCGTGTTACGCATGTCACGAAATAGGTTACCACGGCGAGCAATGTTTGCCGGGGCAGGTAGTGGGTGGAATAAAGCCCAGGGTGGTCAAACGAAGACCTGGCATAAGGGTATGAAAACCTGAACCAGGAGACAAGGTCACATAGGCCCCCTGGCTGGGGACCTCGGGATGATGGTCACCGATGGTTAGAGACACTGAGTGATATGGCTGGGTGTCCTAAACAGTGGCGTTCGTGCATCTTCTCAGTTTATCTGAATCATTAGTCTACTAAACTTTTCAGTTTTTTCTTTGATCCTACTTTCAACCTTTCCGGCATTTCTCCAAATGGGTAGCCAAAAGATAGCAACCGAAACCGGGGCACAATAGTGCATGGTTGATGGACGTACAAACTGAAACTAATCTATTTTTGGTCGATTATCAATCGATGCCTCCCAAGTCAGACTGAGGCTTGAGTCATCATCATTGTACAGCGTAATACACTGAAGCGAACTTCACTGATCGCTGCCAAACTCATACTGCATACAGGTAAGTGAGAATGTTTGAGGATAGGAATTAGACTCACTATTAGGGACTGGAAAAGAAAGCGAACATCTATGGTCAGCACACTGTGTACACAATCCAACTATGCATACATACTATTTCAAGCATTCTGGTCTGATAAGCATTGACAGCAGGATCGCCATTGCTGTCGGTTCGCATCCATGATCTTCAGTGTCTCGAACCATGCGGTTTCGGAGTCTTTTAAGCCCCATCCCGGAAGACGAGACACCTACTTTACCCAATCGCTCTATGCATCTCTTCATTCCTCGTCTCCACATCATCTGCTGGCCTCCACGTGGCTTTCGACAGCCGCTGCGGTAGGCGACCGTCGGATACACGCAAAACGTGTCCTAACCAACGGGGCCTATTGAACTCAATTCGGTGCGATAGCGAGTTCTTCGATGCATTCTCAAACACCCGACAGCTTACTTCTAGATTAGTAGTCCGCTCACTCCATCCTACTTGGGCCAGACTACGTAAGCGTCGGTTTTTGAAAACCACTAGGCGACGGATGTCTTCTACCCGCAACCGTAAAGCAGAGCTGATCGTACAGTGGCACAGTATACGCGACTTTTCAACTTCAATGAANGAAACATCACGTCGTCGCCACAGGTGTTTAAGTTTTGCGTACGCTGTTCAAGCCTTGGAAATGCGGGCGGTTATCGCCTTTGGTGCGCTACCGTCGTTGGTCACAGCTACCTACTAAGCACAAGAATCAGTCAACTTCAACTAATTCTTGACCACCTAATTTCAGAACAGACCTCGGCGACACCCAGTCTTTTAGCATCACTTTATTTCGCACTGGTGTTCATTCCGATTCTGACGACAAATACTCTAGAGAACCAGATCGATTTCATTGGGGGCTGACTATTATTCGCTGAGATGATAGAACATGCAGCCGCTACCCGTGTATTCCGATGTGTAATGGTACTGCATCTCATCGACAGCAAACAGGTTAAGCGTCGCCGTGATCCGATTCGGGCTCGCTCTAATCAAGTTGTGGAATGATGTGCCTAAGTACTTCGTTTAATCTGCTCTTATAAGTGTTCTTCGTTTCCTGGTACTTTTGCCGAGTTTCTTGAATTGCCACACTACCGTTTATCCTGAGTGAATATGTGGTAGGTATGCATGGGAATTTTCACGGCATCAGTGCAATTAAAATCGAATGTTTTGGCTTAGTAGTATATGTATTATTTCACACACGTCTGAGTTCAGACTGTGTGCCAAACAAATAACGGTAAAGTAATCCTTATGAAAAGAAAAGCGTTCTACGATTGGCATGTGGGCCGAATACTGCCAGGTCGCCCAGTCCAAGACAGGTGAATTTTCTCGGGGAGCCTTCGGTTAACGAAATTTTGACCCGCAACGCAGCGGAGCGCTGCGAACACTGCAATTCATTGGGAGCCGGTGTCCAGTTCATCGGATCATACGCCTTTCGGACGGGGTCAAAGGTCCAAGGTGCCCAACCAAGCCGGTGACCACTGCCACACCGAGGGTGTCGGTGATTGTGGTTGGTACGCCTCCTCATGATTAGTTTGGAATCAGGGTTTCTGGCCAACTCCCTTAGGCAAACTATCAGTGGTTCGCCGATCCGGTTATAGCCCCGGATATCGGCTTTTCGTTCTCTCACTTTCGTGCAAGAACACGGCCACGAGAAGGCAGTGAGTAGGATTTTCTCAGCAGTGGCTATTCGAGACCCTTGTTCGTATGCGAGGTGCAACGGGAGGGTGACCAACCGCAATCCCCCAACCATACTGAGGATTTCGGAAGCACACTAGTAACTAACTGGTAATAGTCATTTCAGAAAAATACGAAACGTGCTCTGTTCACCTTCGCATCGCGTTGCTTCCATATCAGGGAATATTGTTCACTGATCCTATGGACAGTTTTGGTTCTCTTGGATTTCGTTTGAAGGCCGAAAAAGGTCACGAGGATCCGCCCTCATTTTATGCGCACCATCGATTTGTTTGTCCATAAACAACCTGTACATACCTCAAGATTCATGGGATTCTGCGCGTTTTGGATCGATCGCTTAACGTTATTCAAAGACCGGTGATGCGGGTTGGAAATAGTATCAAGAGGTTTGTGTATTTGGAATGCGTATCAAGTGAACCTCCCATGTGGTCTGTTCGTGCTTGTTGCATTGGTTCCATTTGGAACGATTCGTCACTGAAGTAGCGTTTTGCCTGGAACACTGTGATCGATATTTCACTTACACCATGCACACCATCTGTATTATCGAAATAATCAACCAACTCCCTTATTCACACTGCTTTCTTCATTGTCTTGCACGTCGGGTTTTCTGTAGTCCAGGAATTCAAAAATCCCGATTGCTGATATTCGCTGTAAGTTAATCTCGACCGAGGATCTAATCAGCCCCATAATATGAAGTCTTAAGGAGTTTCATCTTTCAATCCTAAACCGCCGAAATGTACGCATATTCTAACTCCAGTGTGAGTTAGCTTTTTGCGAATAACCGCCACGGAGTCTGTTTATCCAGTCTATCACACGAAATTCAGATTATTCGACTTCGCTGGCTGAGCGTATGCCTAGCCATTGTTTGCC